AGAGACCTGCCTGAGGCTCTTTATTCCTGTTTATATCACCTCGGTGAAAAATATTTCCTAAGTTATTCCACTTGAAAAGCAACCTTTTCAATTGGAAACCCCCTTTTCAAGGAATACACAGTGTCATGAAGCCACACTTCAAGGTAATATGTGCGTATTTCTTGCACCACAATTAAAGTTTTCAGAAGTTTCAGATCATGTTATATGGGTGAATTAGGGTCAATTTTGGATTGGATTAACTTTTATTGGATTGGATAAACTTTTATTGGGTCAATTTTAGTGCCTAACTTATTTTATCGCTTGTAACATACACTCGTAACTCTAAAAGACTCGGAAGAAATGCGTGTGTACAACTAAAATATAACTATAGTCACGTTTCCAACACTGTATCTAGCTCTGTTTCGCTAACATATACGGACATTGTATCAAATGGCTGTCATAAAGACAGCATCATTAAGCTAAGTTGTACTCCTTAATGTCAATTCCCTTTGGCAGCATGGGATTTGAGTTTCCAAAAAGTCATGCAATCCCTCGGAATAGGTGTGTGTACGTGCAACACAGTACCAAAATATAGATTGCAGACATGCTACGAAGTAGCACTAGCTAAGCTGAGTTTAGCTCGCAAATTGTTGCAGCGTGAGTGTCACTCATCAGTGATCAGGACAGATATTATGCAGACAAACTAGACTGAGGATCACCAAAGCGCAAGAATACCTGTCCAGCTTGTCGGTACACTTACAGAAAAAAACCGGTTTTGTTCAATATGGTGGCATGGCAATCTGGATTATTTGTTATGGCATAACGTTTTCACGAATTAGAACAACTACAAAAGAAGGACAAAATAAAAAAATTACAGAGACAGGAGTGGTGGGACAAGTGTAGCTCACATGTATATTGAAAGCATTGTACAGCACAGCCAGATATTAAAGCTTCACTTCACAGCACTATGACAGCATACAGTTACTAAACCCCTTCATAAAAGGCATGCACCAGATAGCAATTCTGGTCTCTTATATAAGATTTCTCTAATAAGCAGGATATCTCGTATACATTTTCTTATCAACCCGTATTTCACTGTAGGCATACTGTTGTCTTCTATAAAGGGTTCGACTGTACTACAAGTGAATGCGAATCACTCCCACAACTTCAAACAACTTGAAATGTTTGATACAGGCCTCTGTCGTAAATACAGGCTCCTGCAATAGCTTGCAGGAGGCCGTAAATAAATTCTGAATGCTGCTGTGGTAGCAATAAACGGTAATTGCATTTTTGCATAAGCATATCTGAATAACAGGACTTTGAAAAGAAACTAACTCCTGAGATAAGCCTGCCTTAGTCTTTCCAAGTAAGAACGAAACCTTTCTTCAGATGTTTCAACAATTCACACTTGTGCGAAGGTTGTATGTTGTGCCTATTAGCATTCAAGTTTACTTTGAAGTTATTGGATACTAATTACTATACCGACTGATATGTAGGGTTTAACGCTCCAAAACCACCACATGATTCGAGAGACGCCGCAGTGGAGGGCTCAGGAAACCTCGACCCCCGGAGCCCCGTATCGTGCACCCAAATCTGAGCATACAGACCTACAGCATTCTCGCCTTCACCGAAAATGCAGCTGTCACAGCCGGGATTTGAAAGAAGATAACTTCATTGGATTGAAAGACAGATACACACTTCACTGTACTGAGTTTAAGGAAAAATGAGAGTAAAAATGCAAGTTTTTTTTACAAAATTACACATTTTTCATTTTTATCTTTCACAAGTTTAGTTTGTCTACTCTCATGGCAAAAAAACTGATTGTGATTAAACTCGAAGTAAACTAAAAGCCCTTTTAAAGGCCACAGTTAAGTAGATAATTGTTGAAATAGCGGTCCAGAAACCTCGTAGTGGTACTTTTGTGCCATGGAAGGGCTTATTTTGAAACAAAATCGCGTTTTAGGGGTTTGCATCGGGTATGTGAACTTCATATTACCCGCCTCAACAAAACGTGTGACGTTACAGTTGCCGAGCACAACGTTACCCGGCTTTTGTGTGCAGTCTCCAACAGTATAGTGGCAGCAGAGAGAAGTAGCGGGAGCCACAGCAGCAACAATGGCCATTAAACAATTTTTAGCAATGGCCATCAAAATTGCAGGTGTGATTGGTTCACCTGAGGCCCCGCTAGATGGCAAAACCTGCCCAGTTTAGCCATGCAAAAATGGAATTTTCGAACCACTTGCGCCATTCCCCATAGTAACGTTCGGTGGTTCTTTTTTCCAAGAATCAAACAGAAATGACCAATCAGCATTTTATTGCGTCTCTTGGTGCACGGAAGGTTCTTAATTTAGTGCAGCTAGATCGATTACTACTGACTAATTGTAGGCGGTTCTTCTGACATCATCAAGATCATTTTTAAAATGTCTTACTGTGGCACATGTATTCTTGTGCATTTACCTTCATTTCTCGGTAAATAGGGCACGGCAGTTGACAATACTGTTGTTTTAGATGTTTTCATACATTGAGCTTTCACTCTGAAGTTAATTGTTGACTTAGTATCCCATAAAGAGCACAAAGTAGCCAGTAAAATCTAAAGGGAGCTTATTGTCTAGAGTCCTCTCAAAATTGTCATGTGGCTGCTTGTCATTGCATTTCACTTGAGGAGTTCCGTGAAGCCACATGCTCAAATTACATAATTGTTAAGCCCTTATAACGAAAGAAATCATCTTTAAAACATCTTTTATGCATAGATGAGCTTTCACTTATACCTTTAAAATGTGTTTTTCTCAAGATCCACTTTTGGGCAACAGCTTGAGTTTGGACATCACGCTTTTAGTACTTCTGATTGCCCAATTGGAATAAAATTTTTCTCAGATATTCTTTACCATGTGAAAAGTGCAAGGTGTCTGGATATCAGCTGAATAGTTATTACAAACGCAAAGTAAGCAATTAGTATGAGTTGAGTATTCTAAGGATTCTCACATAACAATTTTTTTGTCGATTAAATTGTCTTATACACACTTTCTTGATACTCATTTGCATTCTACAGTAAATGAGGAGCATTACGTGCCCATAATGTCTCAGACATTACAACAATAAAACAACAATAAAAACCAATAAAAACAACAATATTATGCCGTTAAACAATAAAAGTTTAACGGCATAATACGCTTCTCTAAAATGAACTAGGGAGGCAAAGAGGGGTCATCTTTGCTTTCATCCCATTGTTTCTCAAACTTTTCAGATTGAGAAGAAATTCAGCTATGCAAAGCAGCCAAATGCGTCACTCCATATAAAACATCCTCAAATTTGATTTTGTCTAGATTTTAAGTAGTATGAAAGCCTCATTGCTCAATGCTTTTGCCAGTTCTGAGGGACGTAAATTAAAGTTTATACTGTACACCAGATAATTATGGCTGGATGTGCAATCCATTGTTAGGTGTATGCAGCTAGCACAGTTTTGCATATACAAACGGCACGCAACCCATTAAAACACAAACAGTTATTATTCTGCGTACCTGCGTAAAAGTGTCATTTATCACTTACATTTGGCGGCTAATCTGTCTGTTTTCGTTTGTCCAGAGATTGAGATGAGCGTTAAACTGGAAAGATATGAAGAATGAATAAAAAAGGTTTACCAGTCCACTTAGAAGATGGCCTTTTCCTTAACTGTCGACATTAATAAAGCCATGCAAGTGTAAAAGTGGCCATAAAATGTAATTTCATTTATTGTGGGCGGGAACTCATTCATTATTTACCCTAATGCATCAAACATTGAAGCGAGCTTACATAGCTTATTCCAGGCGTCAAACTGTTGAACGACTTCTGCAGTGAATACAACTCAATGTGAGAATGATATGAAAGAGAAAGGTGCTGAGTGACTAGTTACGTGAGGTTAAAGTGTGTAGAAATATTTAACTATGAAAAGTATTTTATGAAATTTGTGCAGGGCTTGATATGCCTGTATTTTCATTACTACAAGGCAAGTTCTTAAAAAACTCAATAGTGACACTTTCGAGCGCGAATTCTTAAACCTTCTGGAAAATACCACCATTTCTTTAATAAAGTAAAAAAATTATTATTGGCCTAAATTACTCTAGCACTAATGAATTCCGAATACAGCGAACGCCTAGCAGACTCGAAACAGAAGAATACTGAAAAATCACCAGCACGTGGACAAATTGCTTAGTAAGAATGATTGGTCTTTGATATAATAATAATATATTAATATATAATATTAATAATAATAATAATAATAATAATAATAATAATAATAATAATAATATAATATCCTGAGTTTTATGTTCCAAAACCACGGCATGTTAGTGAGAGGCACTTTAGTGGAAGCTTGGGGAAAATTTAACCATCTGGTGTTCTTTATCAAGCTCTGGCGTCGAACAGTACACCGACCTCTGCGAACACAGCGACCGAGATTGGACTCGTAACATAGGGGTTAGTTGCCGGACACCTTAGCCACTGTTCCACCAGGTGGGTATGAAGAAATATTAGTACACGACCAAGTTCCAAACTAGTAGAGTCTACTGTCCGAAATGCACCCTCCAGCACATGCTGTGGCAGTGTCACGACTTGCACGGGGGCTTAGGGTCTCCCTCCACTGAGGAAGACTGGCTTCAGCTTATCACCAGTTCCGCAAAGGACCAGCAGCTAAGGGCTGTCCAGAGAGCCCGGGAAGTCGCCGAGAGCTTTAACCTCCCGGTGCCATCGTTGGCGGGGCCCCCAGACGGTGCCCCCGGACGGGGGCAATCTCGTCTTCTCAGGACCAAATAAAGTTTGTTTCACTGACTGACTGACTGTCGCAGAAGCCTGGACCTCGCTACAAAAACCATTAGGCCTTAAATATGGCACAAATGTGATGTAGGGGCATGTAAACACTCAAAAAATTTTGTAGAGAGGCATCTGGTGTCATTATTTACTAAGCTTAAGTGCTACAATACGCAATTTCTTGCCCTTCCCCTCCGCTCTAGGATTTATTTGCAAGCAATTTTTTTTCCGCACAGAGTTCTCGCCAACTTGGAACGTCAAGTTGAACTGGCACGAGAGAGTAGTGCTTTGGGTGCTTCGCCAGGGAATCATACCACGGCATGCTGCAATCGCGCCTGACGGTAACCGGCGCTTCGCCAAGAAAAATGGACTCAACCTGAGCCAAGTTTACGCTATCTTGCTTCAAAACATTGCACGGGTAAGGAGATGTATGTATACACCAGACTTCTGTGTTCGAAGTTGTCATTGGCCAGGAACTTCTTTGAATTTTATTGGGGTGAATTGATGAACATGGCGTGCGTGAAACACAGAAGTTCAGAAACACGTGTAAAAAAATACCGGGAAACAGTCTGAAAAAGTACACTGTGTCCGCAACTAATTCTCTTCCTGGGTCTTTCCTTACCTGTGCTTCTGCGATTGCGTGATTTTTATTGTTATTCGTCACCATAAACGCAACTGAACTTGTTCACATCACTACAGTTGCTTGGGAAACCAAGAAAAGCATTTTGTGCCAAAAGGAATCCGGGTGCATCAGCGAATTGGATAACAAAAATATGAAGTATGCATTGCACCTTACTCCTTAAAGAAAACGTGGCCACTCCCAGTAGCAGGGTGGCAGTCAAGCTGTCTTTGCTGCAACCAAACTTCGCGATGAGGGCAGAAGACGTGCAAAACTTTCAGCCACTAAGCAGTGTCCTCTTTTGATACTTTGACTACGATCGATGTTGACTACGCGTGGTTGCTGTTAGAAATGGTGAACATGGCGCGTGCTAGAAGAAGAGAAAGGTGAGCTACGCCTCGTACCAAGGGAAGCTTGGCTCTTTTAATGCAGGCGTTTCTTAGCGGACTTTGGCGACTTTGGGCGTATCTATCTATCTATCTATCTATCTATCTATCTATCTATCTATCTATCTATCTATCTATCTATCTATCTATCTATCTATCTATCTATCTATCTATCTATCTATCTATCTATCTATTGATCTTTCTTTCTATCTATCTATCTATCTATCTATCTATCTATCTATCTATCTATCTATCTATATATCTATCAAGCTATCTATCTATTCTATCTATCTATCTATCTATCTATCTATCTAAGACATTTAGATGCCCTCGCAGCCGTTTCGCTAGCTTCACAAATGCCAAGTTTGGCATTACGGGGCGTGAATAGATGGCGAAGTTAGGTGACTGGTGCAAACAAGATAATCGTGAGATGCGTGTCATAAGAGAACATGGCTGCATGCCACGCTTTTGATGCGCTAGCCGCCGTTTCGCTAGCGTCATGTGGTCAAAATTTGGTATGACGTCTCAAAAACGCACGACATAGGCAAATGACACGCCCAAATATAACAATAATGACATGCGTGCATGTAACAGCATTGCTACATGCCACACTCATGATGCGCTTGTGACCGTTACGCTAGCTTCAAATATGCCAATTTTGGTATTACGTCACGTCAATGGAAGGCGAAAGTTTGTAACTGGTGCAAACATAATAATCGTGAAATACGTGGCATGTAACAACGTGACTTCATGCTACGCTCATGATGCACTCGCGATCGTTTCGGTAGCTTCACACATATATCAATTTTGTTATTACTAGACGTGAATAGATCACGAAGGCATGTGACTGGTTGAAGCATAATAATCATCAGGTGCGTGATGTGTAACAACATGACTACATGCCACGCTCATGATGCACTAGCGGTTGTTTTGCTAACGTCACATGCACCAAATTTGGTATTACGTGACGCGAACGGACGACTTAAGTAAATCACACGTCCAAATATGATAATCTTGGCATGCGTGTCATGTACCGACATGACTACATGTGACCTTCATGATGTGCTCGCGGCCGTTTCGCTAGCTTCAAATATACCAAATTCAGTGTTACGGGACGTGAATAGATGACCAGGGCATGTGACAGGTGGAAACATAATAATTGTGAGATGAGTATTATGTTACAACGTGACTACAAGCTCCGCTCATGATGTGCTTGCGGCCGTTTTGCTAGCTTCACATGTACCATATTTGGTATTACGTGACGCGAATGGGCGACTTAGGTAAATCATACGTCGAAACATAATAATAATAAAATGCGTATATGTAACCACATAACTTCATTCCACAATTATCATGCGCTCGTGGCCGTTTTGCTAGCTTCAAACATGCCGCATTTGCTATTACGTCACGTCAATGAATGGCGAAAGTATGTGACTGGTGCAAACATGATAATCGTAACATGTATGTCATTCGAGAACGTGACTACTTGCTTTGCTCATGATGCGGTCACGGCAGTTTTGCTTGCTTCAAGTATGCCGAACGTGGTATTACGTCACGTAAATGGATGACGAAGGTATATGATTGGCGCAAACATGATAGTTATGAGGTGCGTGTTATGTAACAACGTGACAAGATGCTACGATTATGCTGCGCTCATGACCATTTTGCTAGGTTAAAATGTGCCAAATTTGGTATCACATCTCGTTAATGGATATCTAAGGTATGTGACTGGTGCAAATATGATAATCGTGAAATGCGTGTCATGTAACAACGTGACTACATGCTACGCTCATGATGCGCTCGCAGCCGTTTCGATCGCTATCTTCAAATATGCCAAAGTGGGTATTACGTCACGTTATTGGATGACGAATGTATGTGAGTGGTGCAAGCATTAAAATCGTGAGATACGTGTTATGTGACAACGTGACTACATGCTACGCTTATGATGCGCTTAGAGCCATTTCGCTAGCTTCAAATATGCCAATTTTGCCCTGGTAAAAATTTCTCTACTGGTTTATTCTCGTTTTTAGTGGTCCCAGTTGGGAGTGAACTGGTTTCTTCTGGTCACAGTTGGAAGTGAAATGATTTCAAATGGTCCCAGCAGAAGGCTACTGGTCTTGAACTGGTACCAGTAGAATGTTGCTGGTTTTGAATTGACAGGATACTGGCACAAGTAGGATATTGCTGGTGTTGAACTGGTACTGTTCTGGTACCAGTAAAGTGTTGCTGATTTCGTGGCGACTGAGTACTGGTACTAGTATGATGTTGCTGGTTTTGAAATGGGGTCACACAGGCCCCAGTAGAATGTTGCTCGTCTTCCACTGGGATCACACTGGTTCCTGTGAAAGCTACCGATCTTGAGCTGGGATATTATTGGTTCAAGTTGGACAACTCATGTTGAAGATTGAACTGGTTTTGGTGGAAAGCTGCTGATTTGAAAGTTGGATTGCATTGGTTTCACTTGATAGTGCTTATTTGTAAACGTACACCTCTGAATGATTGGAATGGATGTTCGCGTCTTGAATTTCGCACTCAAGAGAAAATCTGGCAGCTAATCTTGACAAGAAACATACATGAATATCATGTGCCCAGGTGGCACTGCGAGTTGTACTGGAGAGTCATGTATTCAGTGTGACAGATATTCAGTGTGACCTCAATGAGCTCTTCTGAACTCATAATGCTAAAAAAAGCGACACATCCCACTCACTCACCTCAGAAATTCTCACTCACCTCTGCAAACATTCCCTGAAAGTGGCACATAAATAAAATAAATATTTCCTCTATTTATAGAAGGCACATGTGCTGTTTTGTTGGTATGGAAACAAAAGTGTGTGTAGAATTAAGAGACCCAGAATACACATAACCAGGTATGCATATTTACTATTAATATTAAAACCTTTTCATTTAAAGCACTTTGTTCGTGGTCCTGCAGGCAGCAAATAAGTTGAAAACATGCATTCGTTCATGCTTTCAGTATGAATGGATAGAGTTACACAGCAGAGTTACATACAAGAAAAAAAAAACGGGTTACACACCCGTAACATATGTTTCAATAGTTATGAGTATGGTACCACACAATTACTAATTATATCATTGTAAAGTATTGAGCGAAATATGCCACAGCCTTCTTATCAACACATAACTAATAAACCACGAAGTGATGAAAGAAGAATGTTACTAAATTCTACATTTGCGTTGCCTTACGCAAAAATTCATCCCTATGTAGAGGAGTGAGAATGAGGATGAAAAAAAAAAGGCAGGTAGTAGTCAACCATGGCTGAGCCCGTTGGCTATCTTGCACTGGGAAGAGGGTAAGGAGAATAAAAAGTTAGAATAGAAAGAGAAGGAGAGAAATTCACTCATGCTGTCGATAAAACGGCAGTTATTGCTTAACATCACAGACGGTCAGTCACATCCGTGTCTTAAACAATTGAGCACATTCGTTGCATTAACTCTATGCGCGTAATAGATGCAACTGCTTCTCGGTATGAGATATCATCTCTGGCCCTTTTCAGTATTGTTAGCTCCTTTCAAATAAAAGGACAGTCCTTCGAAGAGGCATCGTGTGGTCCATTGCAGTTTGAGCGCTTCAAATTCGTGGCCTGGCACATTTCCTTGTTGTAGTGCCCAGTACATCGGGACCAGATTGTAGAGTTCATGCACACACCACTTACATGACCTAACTTCAAAGCACTTCCAGCACAAAGTGGTTTCGCAATGAAAGGCGAACTGTTCTCAGAAGTGGCCCACTTTTACGTGTGACGGAAGTGATTCTTCTTAAATCTAATTCTTACGCGTCGTGATGTCCCGATATGACTTATACTTGTAACAATGGCATCTTCCGAAGCCCGCTTAATCAAGACTGGTAGGTCCGAGTTGTTAATGGCTTCGGAATTTCATATATCACCCCAGTGCTCACTTCTTTGCCCAGTGGTATACGAGAGCGGACTTTCATCCTATTAGTTCCGTTACTTCACGCAATCGGTCCCGCGCAGTCACATATTGACGTCAATCGCTAGGTGTTCTTGCGGCTATTCACTCTGACTTTCCTTTACTTCGTTCGGCACCAGTGCCTCTAGATGTAGAGACAACGGCTTGCCAATTAAGACGTCTCATGTTGTCACTAGCGAGAACTGCATGAAAAGAATAGTTGATACCTCCATTTCCACGAAGATCGCATAATGGGCTCACTCGAATTGAGTGACGTGATCAGAATTCGTCTCGTTTTCTTGGGGTCCTGGCGACAGCTCGAAGTTGTCGTCCCCTGCTTTATCACTGCTGAGGTTGTAAGGTTTGGTGTCATCACTGTCAGTACTACTTGTCGGAGCTGTAGCGCTTCCTGAGCAACACCCACGGTCATTCCGGTGTCGCGTAGTTTCCGTGGGCTCTACCTCCATTGCACACCTGCAGGAG